CTAAATTGTAAAGCATTGCCGCTTAATAACGAACGTGTTACGTATCTCGCGTTTTCCCACCAGCAGCGAGGAAAGAAAGTGTTCGCGTTGATTGTGCGGTTTCGCTTGATTGCAACATTGTTCAGCGTGGCCAATAATCGCCGAACATGGTTACCGCATAATCTTGGACTTTTATCATCTTAAATAAAAAATAACATAAATCATGGCCTCTACGAGCAGGTTTGAGAAGATCAATTTTATTATATTATTATTAAATTGACAACGAATAATAATATAATAAAATTGATCTTCTCAAACCTGCTCATAGAGGCCATGATTTATGTTATTGTTTATTTAAATCTAACGAGTTTATATTTATTTTTTTAACTTTTATAAATTATATATGGTTTGTATTTCAGGCACAGATCTTATAACATGGATGATGAAGAACATGGATATAGATGATCAAGGTAAAACTATTTGCTAAATCTTAGAATCTATTTGTGATTTATATAAAATATATAATATTAATTCGTATATGTTAATTCACAGAAGCTCTTCATGTGGCTCATCTTATGGCATCCCACGGATATTTCTTTCCTATCGACGACCACTGCCTTACCGTAAAGAATGATAACACATTCTACAGGTTTCAAACGCCCTATTTTTGGCCATCAAATTGTTGGGAACCTGAAAACACTGATTATGGTACAAAATCATATTAATATTATTGTTAAAGAGTATAATTTATCTGTTATTTGATCATATATCGTAGACGCGAGTAATTCTCCGCTAGCAATGGAAATGAGTTTAAAAACATAATATAGTTTATTATATATTATCGATGTTACTGTTTCATATTTATATCTATTTCTTTTGCTGTATATGTATATATTTATAATTAGTTTCATGGAGCTGTATTATGATACATTCGTTGGTGCATACTATGTTAAATGTTACAGCTGTCTATTTATGCAAAAGGACGATGCAGAATAAAACGCGATTGGAATTGGCGGACTATGAAGCGGAGAACTTAGCTAGATTACAAAAGATGTTTTCACGAAAATGGGAATTTATTTTTATGCAGGCAGAAGCACAGAGCAAAGTTGACAAGAAGAGGGACAAATTAGAAAGAAAGGTCTTGGATAGCCAAGAAAGAGCCTTCTGGGATGTACATCGGCCATTGGTAATTCTTATTTATATATCTTGAACTGTGAATAAATTATGATTTTTAACATTTTTATATGTATCAAATTACATTTTACAGCCCGGATGTGTAAATACTACGGAACTGGATATTAAGAAGGCTTGTCGCAGTTATAAATCTGTTGTACAACCAAGTAAGCATTTGCAATTGGGCGTTGCAGGTGGCAAAATATCGCCGTCTGCGGAATCGAATGCGACCTCATCGATAGAATTTTTGCAGAAGCAGATCGAGACTCTGAAAGACAGACTGGACAGAACGGTCATCAAAGTTTCGAAAGTTGCAGAAGCGTATGTCGATAGAATTATCTAATTTAATAAAGTAAATCAAAAAATTTCTTTTTTCTTTTTAATGATATATTTGTGTGTATTAATGTTTATTAAAGCTAAATGGAATTTTAATTCTATTGTCCTCTGTAAGAAAGAGAAAGTAAAAGAAAGTCTTTCAATTGCATTTTATCTGTATCATTTAATGATACAATATTATATTTACTTAAGCTTTGTTAAATACATATATGCACTTATAGGCTAATCAATACATGTGATATTTTTAGTTTGATCGGATACTTCGAGCAGTACATGGAATACGATCCCTTCTTCACTCAACCCGAGTTAACAAATCCATGGATATCCGATAGCCCGGAAATGTGGGAGCAAGAGAAATTAGCGTACGTATATTGTCACGATATAGAGAAAAAAATTTCTCATGGTACTCGGATTTTCGTAAAACATGATATTATATGTATATGTTTATATTTATGGACATGTAGGAAAGAAATATCCACGAGAAGGGTAAAGAGATGGGCGTTCAGCCTTCAAGAACTTCTGCGAGATCCTGTCGGTAGAGAACAATTTATACGCTTTTTAGATAAGGAATTTAGCGGCGAGAATCTCAAGTACGTATATTAATCCCCGCGTGCGTTTTCTCGTCATCTCTAAACATCATTATTTCATTCCGAGAAATTTACGCTATTTATCTACGTTCATTCATTCAACGAATATTGAATTTGCATCAGGGAGACGAGATCATTTATGATATGTGCAGATTTTGGGAAACCGTTCAAGAATTGAAAACTTTACCGCAGAAAGATGTCCAGACTAAAGTTGAAGAGATATGGCATGAATTTTTGGACACGGACGCCAGTTGTCCGATCAATGTCGATTCTCGGTCTTACGAAATAACAAAAAAGAATCTCGAAAAAGCAGATCAATGGTGTTTCGATGTTGCTGCGGTATGAATTTAATTCTATTATTTCATATAGAGAAATGAGAAGAGACGAAACATATTTAAAAGATCGAAATTTAGAAAAATTGTTAGATATATATATCCTTACTTATCTATAAAATAAGATGTAGAGCTATTCGAAGCAGATTGTTTAAGATAAATATTAAGTGATTATGATCAGTTTTTGGCGAATTAATCATCAAAATTACAAGTAGAAAATAAGTTCTTATGTTTTGTTTTATTTCAAGTAGATTGCATGTGTAAACAGAATCGTTATATTTTATCTAAGTTATCTTACATATAATTCCTGCTATATTATTATTTTTTAGGCACATGTATATCATCTGATGAAGAGCGATAGTTACTCGAGATATTTACGTTCGGAAATGTACAAAGATTTTCTTAACGGATCCAAGAAAAAGGTTGGTTGCATGGTTTTCCTTTATATATCGAGATGATTTTGAATCTATCATTATTATTTAAATAATAACAAAGCTAACAAAAGCTACTTTATTTTTAACATTTCAGACTTCCGTGAAAGGCATTCGTTCCATCGTTTCCTTCACTGGAAGAAGAGACACTACAACTTCATAATTTGCCAATGTTTCTTACGCTTGCTACATAATCTTGCATCTCTACTTGCCAATTCGTTTTTTCTTTGTCTCCATCAAACATTGCACAAAACTGACAAGGAAATTTTGAGGTTTGAAAAGTACTTTCTATTTAACTTTCTATTTTGCATTATTCTTTGACGTATTTGTAATTAAATATTTTATATCAGTAATTATACAACAGTTAAGATTGCTTAAAATATTATCAAAGAGTCATATGCTTGCCACGGATTCATTACAGAATAAAAGAGATTGATCACAAATCAATTCTTGCATTTGTCCAATACTTTACATCGATTGTTTATGATATTCATTTAATTGTGATCTTGTTATCGATTTCAAATGATTTTGACATAATTTCTATTTAAAACATTCAAATATTTAACATTAAGGAGATTAAAACATCCAAAATATGGCGTGCAATCAAATTTTTACTAAAAAAACATAATTTCAAGTTTACAAAATATTGCTGTTTGTGGGAAGTATATCTTTTGTTATATATATATATATATATATATATATATATATATTTTATTATAAAACTTATCCCACATTACAGCATATATACTTTTGAGCAATTTAACAAGATACATAATGCATGTAAATAAAGCTGAACTGAAGAACTAGGAATGTTAGAAAAATACATATAGTATAACATTAATTAATTGTATAGTTAGTATAGTCGGAGGGAATATGTATTATCTTCAACAAATCAAACAAGGGAGAATTGAGCAAAAGACACGCACATACATGTATATAAATATATTTTGCATACATGGCTCTACAGCTCTACACAACTAATCTCAGCATTGCCGAAATTTTGAAGAAGATTATTTATAACAGATATCTCATTCCATTGTTCTCATCCTTAGTTTTCTTCGAGTTGCTATATTCGCATTCAATATACACAAAACTTGTGTCAGAAAAGTCCTAGAACTAAGTGGATTACAATAAAACTAAATTAGAAAAAAAAGGTATTTATTACTTATTATATTCTCTTTTCTCTCTTTCTCTCTGTTATTTTCTTCTTTATCTCATTTAACATAATTTCTTGTCGCTCTTGCATTGACATCTTCCATAGAAATAATTTACCTCGATACTTCTCAATTAATCTATATTATGCAAATAAAAATCATCATCACTGATTTAAATACACAAACGATAATATATTCGAAAAGTAAAAATGTTTTGTCGCTAAGAAAAAAAAAATAGTCCAAAAGAATTTATTCCTGTCAAAAGTTAGCATTCTTTATACTATTTTCTTTTAGTTGCTATTGTAACGGAAGTTATGTTACCTCCTAGTATATTCAGCATTCGGCCAGTTCTCTGCTGAAATTTTCAATTCCTTGTCGTTTCAGGAACACTGTGATGGAACAAATTATAATGTAAAAAAAAATTTGTTAGATGCAGAACGCATAGATCTCTAAATCAGAACGTATGGATCTGGATATTATATTAAATAAAGAATATTTAGAAACCATAGAACGAAGAATGTTTCACAGATTTCAAGTTATATTTAAGGCTTTTAAAGTCAAATTAATGAAGTCTTCGCCACAGATAAGATCTTTGTGAAGAGAGAGGAAGCGAAAGTATTTCAGTCTATCTATTTAGGTATTAAACCATATATAAGTTATGTTATGGCCCCACATAGTCTATAACTATATTAGTTATGGTTGCATTATATCGTTAGGTATATATCTCAACTATTTAACGTTTAGTATAATCGAATATTCATATGATTTATAATTGACAGATGTCTGACTAAATGTTAACGCGGTTTAAACCACTAGAAACTTTCCTGATCGCTTTGGCACGAAGTTGTCTAACTCTTACAACATATATATATA